CTGAACAACTCTAGCCCGATGAAGACTGACCAACAAAACCTGAACGAACTCTCAATAGGGTTTCGGGCCTTTTTTGGTTCAGAGTTTAGGGTTGAATGGGGCTCATTCAAGGTTCAAGTAATTCCCCCTAGATACCAGCAACGGAGAACCCGTGAGACCGCCAGAGCTGTCGATGCAGGCCTTCTTGGGAGCGAAAATGACGACGACCTGCAGAAGCCTGACATTAACATAGTATGGTATACATTAGAGTCTAGCATCTAACATGGTATACATTAAAGTCTCGTATAATATCTCATAATATGTTCTATGATAATATGGGCTCCAGATAACTAGTGTGTTCTTTCGCGGTGGTCGGAGACCCTCAATGATCCTCAATGTGCTTTGGCTCCGCAGCGCCTACTAGGCCTACTATGCAACAAAGAGTGCACACCACCAAAGCCACTAGGCAATTTTGCAACCTTTCAAGTTGTAATTATCCGTGTTCTTATAGAAAGGCAAAGCCATCGGAGATGAGTACTGCGCACAACAAGCCTGGAAAACTGAGCGTAGCAACGTCTATAACCCCATGTGCTCTTTTACAGCTCCTTTCCTAACGAAGACAATGCTTTCTAGATCGTTCGGAATAGAATCACAAAATTCCTTCACAACTCCTGAAGGGACTCCTGCATGGTTGCTCGAGCTCGCTCTCGAATTCCTGCGTGCTCACCAAGGGCACCCAAAACAGGTGCAGAGTCAAGACCGCACTTGTCATTGAAACCTAGCAAGGAATGGTCCTTGGCTGGGATTCAGAAAAACTAGCACCTGCTGGGGTTTTAAGGATGCTTAAGGTGATAAGGGCACATATATATATATATATATATATATATATATATAATCCCCCATGTCTCCGGGGGGGGGGGGTCGAAAGAGCAATCCGCATTTCTGGACGTCCCCCCAACATGTTCCGTGCAGGAATGCAACAACGGCACAAAATGCAGTGGATACTTGTCTTCCTGACTGTCGCAGCAGGCTGCGCATGATTCATCCCCGGATCTCCGAAACGGGGTGCTGAAACCGGGTGGTGGCCTGAATGGCTCCCTAACCTCGATGGTGCCCCGAACCTGAGGTTTTATGCCGCCCCGGTTTGGCGTGCTGAAACCGGGTGGTGGCCTCTCCCTAAACTCGCTGGTGCCCCGAGCCTGAAGTTTTATCCCGCCCCGGTTTGGGTGCTGAAACCGGGGTGCTCAAGGGGCTCCCTAAACTCGATGCTCCCCGAACCTGAGGTTTTATCCCGCCCCGGATAAAGCCTCAGGTTCGGGCGAGCTTAGGGAGCCCATTCAGGCGCCACGGTTTCAGCACGCCAAACCGGGGCGGGATAAAACCTCAGATTCGGGGCACCAGCGAGTTTTCAGCACTCCAAACCAGGGCCGGATAAAGCCTCAGGTTCGGGGCACAAGCGAGCTTAGGGAGCCCATTCGGGGCGGGATAAAACCTCAGATTCGGGGCACCAGCGAGTTTAGGGAGCCCCTTCAGGCCACCACCCGGTTTCAGCACTCCAAACCAGGGCCGGATAAAGCCTCAGGTTCGGGGCACCAGCGAGCTTAGGGAGCCCATTCAGGCCACGGTTTCAGCACGCCAAACCGGGGCGGGATAAAACCTCAGATTCGGGCACCAGCGAGTTTAGGGAGCCCCTTCAGGCCACCACCCGGTTTCGGCACTCCAAACCAGGGCCGGATAAAGCCTCAGGTTCGGGGCACCAGCGAGCTTAGGGAGCCCATTCAGGCCACGGTTTCAGCACGCCAAACCGGGGCGGGATAAAACCTCAGATTCGGGGCACCAGCGAGTTTAGGGAGCCCCTTCAGGCCACCACCCGGTTTCAGCACTCCAAACCGGGGCCGGATAAAGCCTCAGGTTCGGGGCACCAGCGAGCTTAGGGAGCCCATTCAGGCGCCACGGTTTCAGCACGCCAAACCGGGGCGGGATAAAACCTCAGATTCGGGACCCAGCGAGTTTAGGGAGCCCGTTCAGGCCACCACCCGGTTTCAGCACTCCAAAGCAGGGCCGGATAAAGCCTCAGGTTCGGGGCACCAGCGAGCTTAGGGAGCCCATTCAGGCGCCACGGTTTCAGCACGCCAAACCGGGGCGGGATAAAACCTCAGATTCGGGGCACCAGCGAGTTTAGGGAGCCCCTTCAGGCCACCGACCGGTTTCAGGACTCCAAACCGGGGCCGGATAAAGCCTCAGGTTCGGGGCACCAGCGAGCTTAGGGAGCCCATTCAGGCGCCACGGTTTCAGCACGCCAAACCGGGGCGGGATAAAACCTCAGATTCGGGGCACCAGCGAGTTTAGGGAGCCCCTTCAGGCCACCGACCGGTTTCAGGACTCCAAACCGGGGCCGGATAAAACCTACCAGCGAGTTTCGGGAGCCTGTTCAGGGCACCACCGGGTTTCAGCACCCCAAACCGGCCCCGGTTTGGAGTGTTGAAACCGGGTGGTGACCCTGTCCGGAGCCTGCGGTTTGCTATAAGAGAACGTCCATACGCCGGTGTGAGTCCCCCGATGTTGGGCACATCGAAGAGCTGTTCGACAGGAGAGCTTCAGGGTTTCTGGGTTTGGGGCTGCCGGGCTTAGGACTTGTGGGTTCGGGGTTTCTGGTTCTGCGGTTTCTGGGTTCGGGGTTTCTGGGTTTGGGGTTGTTGGGTTTGGGGTTCTTGGCTCAGGGTTTCTGGATTTGGGGATTCTGGCTTCAGGGTTTCCGGGTTCGGTGTTGCTGGGTTTAGGACTTCTGGGTTTAGGGTTCTTGGCTTCACGGTTTCTGGTCTTGGGCTTTCTGGGCTTGGGTTCTGGCTTCAGGGTTTGTGGATTTGCGGTTGTCGGGCTTGGGGTTCGGGGTTTTTGGATTCAGGGTTTCTGGGTTTGGGGTCTCTGGTTTTGTGGTTTTTGGGTTCGGGGTTTCTGGGTTTTGGGGTTGTTGGGTTTGGGGTTCTTGGCTCCAGGGTTTCTGGATTTGGGGATTCTGGGTTTGGGGTTTCTGGCTTCAGGGTTTCCGGGTTCGGTGTTGCTGGGTTTAGGATTTCTGGATTGAGGGTTCTTGGCTTCACGGTTTCTGGTTTGTGGTTTTCTGGGCTTGGGTTCTGGCTTCAGGGTTTCTGGGTTTGGGGTTGCCTGGTTTAGGATTTGGGGGTTTCGTCGCTCACTCTCGCACGCAGCAGGCAAGGCTCCACATAGGGGTTCTCCGTTTCCGGGATTCGGCGCTGGGTTGTTTCTTGTCCCCCTCAGCATTTCATAGTTCTTGTAGGGGGTCTGCAATGGGTACCCCCGGAAAGGTCTAAAAAGGGTCCGCCCCCATTCCAAACTCCTCATACGTCGACTGCCAGCAGCCACCCATTCAAGACCCTTCCAAACTGCGGGGATGTCAATGGAGTGCGCGACCTGTGCAGATGCCATCTAGCTTGGCCTTGTGTGTTGTGTGTGTACCGCGGAGCCGTGGTCTTCTGCAAGAACGGCAGCCGAAGTTTGAGGACAACCAAACCAACGGCTGTGCCGCTCACGGGGAACCTGTGCAAAGCTGTGCGCGTTCAGCAGCTCACCCACTATGGGGCGCACAGTCGTGGCAAGCTTTTCCAAACAGAGCCAAACACGTCCGAAGCAGCGCATTGCATTTACAAGCCCCCCTCCCCCCCTTCCAGCCCTGGCCCTCGAATGCACTTCCAACCCCCCCCCCCACCGACCAAGGGCCAGCAAGATGGGGGATTATATATATATATATATATGTCTTGGCACGGCCGATGATGAGCCTGCCTTGGAGGCCGCTGCACGGTCTCTGTTTCGAGTGCCCATGGCACCAAGTACCACTCTGCTGCCACTCTGCTGCTTCCACAACTCAGCCCTAGCGGGTTTAGTGCGGTTTCATGAAGGTTCAGGATTTAGGGTAGGGTTTAGGATTCTGTTAAAGTGGTCTATGTAAGGGCTACTATAAGGGATCTATAAGGGTACTATAGTGCAGGAGCCTGATTAAGAAACCTTGAGCCTTTGTTAGGGTTCCTTATATGAACCTTAGTACCATTTTGGGGGTTATAGGCCCCCGGTTTCTTAATAAACAAGGTTCCTACATACATAGAGATATACACATCTGATAGCAAGACTAATGACAACAACAAAGCAATACCAAGAATCAGAATCACAATAACAATAATGACAAACATCGTGCTGGAGATAGGAAGAGCAACATTAACAATAACGATGGTGACAATTACAATGAGACTGATACCAATAATAAAAGCAAGAATAACACCAACAGAAAAATGGCCATAATCGCAATACAGGGGATATATAGTGTTTAGTATGTGTACATATATGTACAGATGTATACGCACAAACTTTCCATCTATCTGTCTGTCTGTCTATCTACCTATCTATCTATTTACTCCATGTGGCGAGAAGCAACTTTTCGCAGGAACAGAGTTGCCAACTGCTCTTTACATGGGTGCAGATGGCATTGGCAAAATCCAAGCTCGCTGAGACTCAGCGCTTCTGCCGTCAATGCCTGAGCCAAGCAGAGCCCTTAAACCCTAACCCTACACCCTGAACCCTACGCCCTCCACCCTACACCCTCAACCCTGCACCCTAAACGTGTTGAGGAGAAGGGAGAGCTTCTGACAGTGGGAAGCTGCGTGGTACCATGTACATGCGCGCGGGTGGGTATTTGCCTATCATATCTAGCTATGTCTATCTATCCATCTTCTATCAACCTGCTGACCCCTCTATCCGTCCACCTACGGTTGCATTCGAACGCGGGGCTTATCTCACATCGGTCCGCGAGAATGCACATCAACAGATGGGATACCTCGCAAACGATGCAGCTTCAAACGATTTTCAATGCCGTCGAAAGCTAGAGTATGGAGCCGTAAACCCATCCCAAGGCACCCACGGGAAGGGTTGAGGATTTTTGGGTTTGTAGAGGGTTTAGGGTCAAGGGTGACGATACACCGAGCGCCCCACTCAGCAAGGATTCCAGCTGATCAAAGCCCCGGCCAGACTTCGATGCCGCCAGGACCAAGCTTAGGCTCCTCCGGGGCATAAAGCATAAGGTTTAGGGTTTAGGGTTTAAGGTTTAGGGTTTAGGGGTTTAGGATTTCATGAAGGAGCCTGATTGTCCCCCAGACCTGGATAGTGGTACTTGGGCCTTTATTGGGGTTCCTCTAAAGGGGTCTATAAGGGTTCCTATAAGGGATCTACAAGGGCACTATACTGGTGAAGGAACCTGATTAAGAAACTTTGGGCCTTTTTTAGGGTTCCTTCAATGTATGTTATAGGGGCAGGGTTTCCTAATCAGGTTCCTACATTATTAGGGTTTAGGATGTAGGGTTTAGGGATCAAGCGGGCCTTAAAAAGACTTTTTGACGCTCACACTGGGACAAGCCATGCAAGGTCTGCACGGTACTGGTTCCTTCGTTAACTCCACCTTAAAGGGCTTAGGGTTTCGACGCACACACACACACACACTCGCTCAAGAGCTGGCATGGCTTCTGGCAGTAGGTCGGCTGAGTATTTTTCCTAGGTCGGCTAAGTTTAGGGTTTACGGTTCAGTGATGAAGTGGTCTGGATGCTGACTCCAGAACTACTCCAGACTTCGAGCCACCTTAGTGGCTGAGAAACGCTTTATGGTACAGCGTTTTAGGCTATACCCATAGCCTCCATAGTAGTTCCTTTTGGGGGCTCATATTAAGAATCCTATAATGTAATCCCAGCGAGGAACTGCTATGAGTACTTGTGGGTGGCGTTGGTGCAGTTACCCAAGCTGGGCCAGGCCTATCCTTGTCCGTATTGGGCATTGCACCACTGCTTACATGATTTCACATTCTACCTGGCAAAATAGGGAAGCCCGATAAGATAGGGATATCCCTATAAAACGCTTATGTCCTTTTGGGGTCCCTGAGTAATTAAACTGCTTCGGGACACACCTGACTATAGTTGATTGAGCAGAGGCACTGCAATTGCCCAAACCCGCTAAGGCCGCCTTCTAACTAAAACTGGAACGGAGGCTGAGATGCACTTATCTAAAAACGCTTAGAGATACGAAACTTTAGGGCACTCAAGATCAGCAGACAAGCGAGGCCTTCGGATCAACGATTAATTACACAACAGCCTGCAAACTAACTCTAAACTCTACTTAAAGTGCCTTAAACCGTAAAGCCGTAAGGTCCTAAACGCTACAGCCGTGAATCCTGAAACCCACACCCGCAAACCCTAAATGCCCTGGACTCCCGACAGAAACCCCAAAGCTCTGAAAACCTCGGGTTTCTTCTCTCACTCTCGCACTCGGCAGGCGAGGGTCCACACAAGTCTCATCCTCATAGTACTCACATCGTGGCAGCTCCGCGGAGTTCATAGACGAGGAATTAGTGTACATGATTTGGGGGTCCCTATAATAAGGGTCCTACTATTTAGGGTGCTATATTAGGGTCCCCTGTTTTCGGAAACTCCCATTTAGGGGTTTAAAGCCTTAACTTCTCTCAGCCCGAGCTCTGAAACGACAGGCCACAGCGGAGCAGACCGCCTTGTGGTGCTTGTAGTACGTGCCGCCTCCATACAGCCCTACTTCCCATACCTCAAATAGAAGAGGGATCTTAAAGTATATGGCAACACTACGAGCTTAGAGGCTGGGTAGTGGAGAACTAGGAACTTGGGTTGTCGAGTACGAAAGGACTCCGGGCGCCAGTTGCAGAGCAGACCCCACCTGGTTGTCCGTTCTCCGTGTACGTCCGCCCGTAGTTTTGCAACTTCATCTTGTCCTGCATCTACACTAACCCTAAACCCTTAGCGGGTGGATGGACACGAGTTGCAACAGGAACAAGACGAAGATGCCCCTGTGCAAGTTACACTTGTCAATACGTCCTCAGCCTGAACGGCTGCCGAGCTTGTCTCCACTCGTTTGCCAAGTTCCACCAGGTCTCCATGGACCTTTGCATCGCGTGGGGGTCTGGGTTCAAGGCTTATTAAGGGCTTGGAGATGTTTTGGCCTAGGGTTCAATATGGCTCCGAAATTGGCAGTATGCCTTGACTTTGAGGCACCGCACTACAGTCCCAGTAGCGCCAGAGCCTACCTTGTTTCGGTATACAGCATGCCGTGGCAGAGTGTCACAATTAGGGCTTAGAGGTCAACATGGCGCAGCGGCCGGTTGTTGCACAACGAGGTTGGGAGATGTTTGGCTTTGTCCTGACCTGTCTTGCTTGCCATGGAAAAAGGCCATGTCTGTGCGAACAAGCAGACCCATAGCCTCACTGAGGATGCACCCCTTGCACAACCCTAAGTTGGAGTCCAGCTGATGAAGGACTGATCTTAGAGATTCCTTATAAGAGTCCTTGAAGGAATCCTTCCGGAACCCTATAAACCCCTGCGTAGGCGGAAGGATGTGGATCGCCAGGTGGCGCTGGCGATGGAGTGGACGTCTGACTTCTTGACGACGTAGCTGAAATCCTCGCGCGGCTTATCCTCTACCATGGCCAGCTCGGAAACCCTAGACCCTATACAAACCGCACTTTCGACCTTAACCGAAAGGCGCCATATCTGCAGCCAGAAAAGAACACTTTCGGACGGAGCTCGTGAGGGAACTGACTAATTCGCAAACAGCAGGCGCAATCCAGTGGTACGAGATGGTACAAGGGTCGGATCATAACCCTTTTTGCATCCGGTCTGCAGCGCCTCTACCGGGTCCGCCAAACCCCTAAACCCAAAATCCTAAAGCCCAACATTTGGCTTTAGCAAACCGTCCGACACCGAGGCCCGGGCATGAACAAGGAACGAGAGACCCTCTGCAAACTATGCAGGCTTTCGATTAGCATTGTAGCTTAAAGGGTTTACGCTCTCACGGGTTTAGGGTTTAGGGGTTTAGGGTTTAGGAACACCAAGCTGTCGACTCGTCCTCCACAATGACAATATACCACTGATTATTGAGTTAGTGTATTCAGCTTCTTTAGGAAGAAGTAGTGACTAACATGCTTCGTCTCCTCAACATTAGTATGGGAGTTTCCGAAAATAGGGGACCCTAATATAATAATACCCTAAATAAGAGGATCCTTACTATAGGGACCCCAAAAGAAGGTACCCCTCATTTTCGGAAACTCCCATATCTTGACTGCGTCTGGACCCGGGCGGGGCCTTTGGGTTCCAGTTCGCCAGGAGGTCGGCACTGGCACAGTACTTGGCATAGCATTTTTCCCAGATCTCCTCGTAAACGATCCCCTTTCCTCAGAACAACCGGGTTTCGGGGTTGAAGGGCGGCTCGTCTCTTGCAGCTTCTGCTAGAACCCCCCGGTTCCCCTACTTCCTGCATCTGCGCTTCGATTGAAGTGGGTGATGATCTCTTCGGTTGATGTCTCGGGCTTCACGTCGAAAATTTCACCGGCCTGGTCGGGGCTCTGGGGGCCAGGATGTCCACTGGTTCAGCATCTCACACAAGCTTATGCCAACTCTGTGAATAATCAGCCTGCAAAAACCTCCATATCCCTCTCTCTGTATATATAAACACACACACACACGAGTACATGTATGTATGTATGTATGTATGTATGCATGGATGTATGTATGTATGTATGTATGTATGTATGTATGTATGTATGTATATGTGTGTATATACATATACATACATACATATATATATATATATATATATATAGATGTATGCACCTAGTATATACATGTGTATATATATATACACAATAAGAATATGATGCACGTGCTTAATATACTAGTATTGATAAGAAGCCAATCGGACCCTTCAGACAGAAGGGTCAGCCTTGTAGCAGCCAGAGGAAGGCAGTTCTTGCCTCGTCCAGGTGCTGCAGCACTGGAAGTACATATTCCAATGGGAACCACCTGCAAGAAGATACGCAAGGGTTTTTTTTGACACTCACACTCGGACAAAGCCTGGCAAGGTCTATAGCGATTGTAGGTCATTCGTTAACAGCTGGCCGTCGCATGTCACCAGCAAGCAGGTCTAGAGATTCCCAAGTCACATCTTTGGACAGAGGAACAAACTGTCAAGCACCATGTGTGATACGCCAACACCAAATGCACAAGCATAACTGTTCATGGTTTTGACAGCAGACCACTACCGGACAACGGACTAAGAGACCCGACACAATAGAAACCCCAGCCCCTAGTTTAGTCCGGTAGACAGCCAGGTGAAACACTCACACACTACATTGATGGTAGAGTCCGTACCATTATTACGCAAGGGTTTAGGGTTTAAGGGTTCCTACTAAGGCTGCAAGAAGATACATAAGAGTTCCTTTTAGGGGCCTCTTTAAGGGTGCCTTTAAGGTTTAATATAAGGGGTCCTGTACGGGTTCTCAGTTGGGTGCAGTGTCTAGGTCGAAGGATCAGCGGATGAGCGCTCCAGATGTGGTCTGTGAGACGCAGGACAGCCAGAGAAGAATCAACCCGCTGCAGCCACCAGGAAAAGGCAGGCCGTGCAAGACATTACTCGAATATTACATTTGTTTATGTCCTTTTTTGCGTATTATCGCATACTAGACCATAGATTTTTTGAACGAAAGGCTGAGATTGTCCTCTTGCTCCGCAACCTGCCCTCTCGCACTGGCTGTATCAGGTAGCTCGGAGGACAACAGAAAAAGAAGGATGACACTGCAACGTTGATGGCTCTGCGGTGCCACTTATGATTCAGGTATGCCCCTCCCAACACCGACGTCGACTGCCCTGCCCCGCCCTGCCTCCCCTTCTGCGCATGGGTCCGATCCAGCAGTTTCTGATGATGAAAAGGCCTGAGATGAAGGACAACTTAAGTTGGCAAGCACACTAACATGCGCAACTCAGGCATTTCGTGGTTCCCGTAAATTGCAAACCAAGCCATGGACGTGCAACAGGATTCAGGATGCCCCCGGTCGTTTGCAGTCGGCATGCTGTTCTGCAGAGATGTAAGCCTAACAAACCACAGTTTGCACCGGCTTCAATGTTAGGATTCCGATTTTTCTCCTTCCTCTACTCCCGGGTCTCGCATGGCACGCAAATGTGCACATCGATGTCTCTGAGCGTATTCACATTTGGAGTTTTGCTCGTCTCGAGGACGTGTTTGAGAGTGAGGCACACAAAGTGCCGTTCTAGCCCCGACAGCCTGAGTCTCTGCTACACGACCGAAACCCTGCCTCGTTGGCAAAACCGGCATAACGCAAACGGCAATGCCCTCAAAAATAATATTTTCTTTGGAAAAAGACCCCATGAATGTTGATAACCCTCAAAATGAACATCAATGAACATCTACTCTCCTCGTTTTGGAAACCAGCCAACAACTACCTGATGACAGGCGGCAGCAGCGGCAAAACAATCCTCGGCCGGTGCAAAGCGGAGTAAAGGAGTAGGTCCGACAGTTCCCCAAACCCTAACTAGCTCTAAACCCTTTTTTGCATCAGGACTTGTGCAATCGTGGCTCTAAACCCTAAACCCCGAAACCCTAAACTCGAAGGTAGGCCCACCAAACTACATGCCTCATTGAGGCTCCAATGCTCCATGATTCTCAGTAGAGAATGGGGCAATGGATCCCTCTGACAGTCGCTTGAGGTCCCGTATGCCGCATGAAAAGCCCTGCAGCTTACAGCCACAGCACCCTAAACCCTGAACCCTAAATAGCAGCCCAGAATCCACTGAAGATGGAGTTGATTTTGCGAAGGTGGGCTGTTGAAGCCGCAGATGATATTGTCGCCTCGGACGGTCGCAAAGGTCTGGCCAGGTTTGGTGCTTTCGTCGATCTCTGGGATCGTGAAAGACTATACGCATGCATAGGTCGTCCGTCTATGTATGTATTTATGTAATGTATGTATGTATGTATGTATGTATGTATGATGTACATATTGTATATATATATATATATATACATCCGTGATCTTTGTAGAATACTGCTTTTGATTCGCAGGTCTGTCTGGCGACATGTTAACACAAGCGCTAGTCGCGGTAGTAATCACCGTCCTCATCTAGTTTGAGGTGCGGAGTTGAGGCTGGAGGTTTGAGGGTGCAGATGTTCAAAAAATCGCTGGTTTCTGCTGTCGTTTCACGAACCTATCGAGCACCTTTCGCTCAGAATCTCTGACTTTGGCTTGGTTTATCCCAATCGCAAAACCCAGATGTCCTAGGTACTGTGTTAAGGGGGATACTTCACCAACTCATAATAGCGTGAATAGCGATGGCTACAATATTACGATAGCAACCCGACATTCTACCATGTAGGTACTTAGGACCCTTTGGGAGAGAAAGCTTCGACTGAGGTGTTGGCGCACCGTGTCCTGCGGCAGCAGAGCTTTTGTTCAGTCTTTCGCATCAAAAGACCCTGTGCCATAAGCCAAAGTCGAAGTGTGAAGAAGTCAGTCCGGTGGGTTCCTCTCGTAAGATGAGTACTGGCTCCCGTTTCTTGGGGAAAATCCCCAACAAAAACGGTCCAGGCCGAACCAAGGGGGGTGCCATTGTTGGGGATGTTCCCCCAAAAAACGGATCGGGGGCGCAGCAAGAAGGAGCTTCACCCCGAAAAGGCGAGGGAAAACAAGCACCGACCCAGCAGCTGTTGGCTTCAAGCCCAGGGCGCCGAGCGGCGGAACAAAAGACACCCGCTGGATTCACCTGGTCTCACCGCCAAGTGTTTTCGCTTTTGCCTCGATCCCACCGGACGTTAGCTTGTGCAAAGGGGCGGAACAAAAACAAAAAACATGGACGCCGCCGCGCAGCAGCGAAAAAGATCTTCTAGTGGCCAGTGGCAGGGAGCAGGAGCAAAAAGGGTCAACAACAAAACCAAGCACCCCTTATCCTACTGCAAAGAACGAGCTTTCAGCCTTAATTAGGGTTTCGAGTTCCATCTGCTCACGAGTCCTCGGACACGCCCTCACGGTAGTTGAATCTGCGCCAATCTGCCTCAGATGGTGGCCGAAAGTGGCCTGAAACTGAAGAACCAGCGTGCGCAGACCAGAGGGAGACATCATGAACTCTTCTGCCCCCTATATTGCCTGAGGGCTTCACAAGAGTTGGTGCTTCACTCGACCAGCGATTTAGGGCATCTGCGGTTCTGGGTTGTTCATCCACGGTCTTGGGTTTGGGGTTTCCAGGGCTACAAGGTCAAGGCCGACATGACCTCTCAAATTTTGAGCCTTGAGCATGACAAGTATTTACCTAGTTGAGGCCCTCCCTCTCTTGTCAAGCAATGCTGCATCCTGAAGAAATGCCATCGTCGCTTCCCATGCCTGACAGTCACGCACCGGACAGCATGCTGTACGGGTCAACTTGGGAGTACCTGATTGATCTGTTTGTCTGGTAGACAGAGGATCCTAGTGAAATCTGGGGTCCTGAATTGCACGATTTCAACTGCCCGGGCAGCTCCTTTAAGACACCGCCGCCAGTGCAAGTGCAACTGTCGAAAAGCTTCCGTGAACCTCTGCTGTACAGGGATTTCCTGAGTAACCACCGAAACCTACTTCTTCAGTAGAATTCGAATTCCCTACAGCCTTGCCTTACAAGTCGATGGTGGTTGCAGGCGTCCATACCTAAACCCAAACCCTACATCCTTTAAACCCCCAGCCCTTAACTCTAAACTCCAAGTAAACCTAGAATCCCTTGGCAGGACGCCTCCGTCATGAGGTTGGCCACCAACTGTCGTGCTCGCGCCGGATCTCGAAGGAGCCATCGCCAGTCCTTCCCCGGGAGGGTGAGCTTTCGCTTTCCCAGAGTCTCCAACATCCCTTAATTCTTCGGAATGTACCCGAAGATATAGCAAGATCTCTAAACTATTTCAGGTATATCTTCTTGATGAAGGGATATTGGAGTCTCTGGGTTAGGGCTTCGCTGACTAGGTCGCACTGCAGGGAAGCTGTAGGCTTCAGGGTTCCGGTCTCTTAATCTAAGTGAGCCCTCTGGGTTTCTCTCCAGAATGATGCTACCATCTATAGGGTCCATGTACCGTAGGGCCCTTGCTTTCCAGTTTCTCTCGTATCGCAAGACTCACTACTGAGTATCTTCGCAAAAGCTCAGGCTGATGTGCCGTGACAGGACATCGAAGAACCGTCGAGAAATTCCGACAAGCTCATAGCAGCCCCAGCCGGTCCCGGACGTAGTGGCTTGTTGGCAAAGCATTCAGATGGCAAGAAGACATGGAAAGCCTTTGGGAAGGACTGGGGCAAAGGGGCCTTGTAACTTGCTTTTCGGTGGTAGGCTACTACGAAAGAGTGCTTTCAAGGTCACAAGACTCAAACCTGAAGATATTCTAAGACTCAAATCTGAAGATGCTCTAGTGAAGTTCGACGAAGATGGATATGTACGGTAGACCTACTCGAGCTCCAGTTCTCCTAGGTATGCTAGATATCGTACTTGGAGGGTCGGGGGGCTTAGCAAGTGGGTACTAAGTAGAAGGGATCCTAATTGAGGTTATGGTATCTATAACCTTAGAAACCAGCTAC